TTATCTTTGGATTTGAAATATTAATCGATGTTTTTGATGTTTGCAAAAATGAAAAATTGGTTTTAAAATTTACGTCGTTACATATGGAATCTAAAGATGAAAGGTTTTGACATCGTTGCTTACACCTCTAGATTTGATGACTTGGCGCTACTCTGCCCGGGAATGGTTACCTCGGAGAGTAAGAAGATAAAGAGATTCATATGGGGGCTGACCCAGCCAACAAAAGGAAACGTCTTAGCTGCGAGACCGGATACATACGACAACGCCAAAAGCTTAGCACAAACCTTAATCGATCATATTGATGACCTTGAGGAAGCAGCTACCACTCTTGAGCCATCAGAAAGGAGTGGTGAGAAAAGAAAATTTTGGAATAAGAAGAAGAGTCAGCTTTCTCAGGAGTCCTCAAAGAAGCAGCAAACGGTGGCAATTCGTGCTGCTACTGTCCCTACTGCTGTCTCTGCCGTCGGATCCACAACTCAGAATCCTACTAGTGGATATACCGGTACCCTTCCTTGGTGCGGCAAGTGCATCTACCATCATCGTACTCCTGGGCCATGTCGCGAAAGACTCTGCAGCAACTGTGGCAAGAAGGGTCACCTTGCTCGAAACTATAGAAAACCAGCCCAATCAACCAACCAATCATCCGGAGTAGGTGCCAGTCAGGCCTGCTACGGTTGCGGTGAAGTAGGGAATTTCAAGAGAAATTTCCCCAAAGTAGCAACAACTGGCAACACTGTAAGAGTCCTAGCTATAGGACAAGGTGAGGCAGTCACTGATCCCACCGTTGCCACATGTATATTTTTCCCTGACAGCCTTTATACTTGCAATCCTTTTTGGATTATATTGTTGAAAGAAAATTTGTTATCTATTCAATCAAACATCACCTTAACCTTAGTTCTCCATTAATAACCGAAACGCCTACCACCGAGATGTCTAACAATGAGAAAGAGGACGTTAGCGATATATTCGTGGGTTGAACCCTTACCCTCGACGATCATCCTTTTCCCATCGATCTTATGCTATTTTTGCAATTAAGAACTTTGAAATATTCAGTGTCATGGATTGATTGAGTCTCAATCATGTTGACATCCCTTGTTCTGAAAAATCTACCCATCTCAACCCTCCCCCGGTCAAACTCTTATCATCTGTAATGATAAAACTTAGTTTCAGCTGTTGCATCATTTAGTACATCAAAGCTCAAAAGGCTTCTCCGAAGGGAATGCCATAAATTCCTAGTCTATGTGACCATCGAGGAACAGGAAGTTGCAACCCCAAGGTCTACAATTTTCCAGATGTCTTTCCGAAGAGCTCCTAGAAATTTCTCCCGAACATCAAGTAGAATTTCGCATTGATCTAATTCCTGGAGCAAACTCAGTAGCCAAATCTCCGTATCGATACGCTTCAGCAGAAATGCCGGAGTTACCCAGCCAGCTACGGGCTCACAGGAATGATGTTTCCAAAATAGCATTCAGGATTCGATATAGTCACTACAAAGATGTAGTGATGTCCTTTGGTCTAACCATTTTCTTTGGCCATGTAGTAATCGAAGAAGGCATATTACATTCTGAAACGCGTATTCCGAGGTGCATAGAACTTTCCGAAATCCTTATTAGGATCGATCCCATAGCATACAAACTCCGACTACCCTCAGAACTTAGCATCATCCATCTGGTATTTCACGTCTCTGTCCTTAAGAAGTGCCTACCCGATGAAACCATAGTAATCCCCTTTGATGAGACCAAAATCAACAGAAGTCTGAATCTCATGGTAAGAGCCAATCAAAATCATAGAGCGAGAGATTAAACGTATGAAACAAGCCGTCTCCCGATAAGTGAAAGGTTCCACGAAATGCCATGCGAGAATCCTAATTCACTTGGAAGCGTGATGATCCGATAGAACAGAAGTATCCGTATTCTCTTTCCAAATCCACAAGTTTCATCTAAAGTTTGAATTTCGGGACGAAATTCCCTCTAACGGGTTGATAATGTGATAACCCGAAGTTCGTTCCATCGTTGTAACCCGTTCCGTCATTAAAAATTCGTCGTCTTGAATTATTTCTGTTTCATTTCTAAATTTAAGCCATTAATTTTGAGTTTGCCATTATGACATAATTAGTATCCAAAAATGTTAGAAACTTATGGAAACGCCCCAACTTATTATTTGGAAAAATAATTGTTTTCTTCCGTCGAGTTATAAGATAATTAAACCGGGTACGACCAAAAGCCTCGCTTAACGACCGTATCGGGTAGAATTCCACCGTGTCCCAAACTTTGAGCATATATAAAGTTGAGAGAGCCTCATTTGAAGCCTTTCCACTCTCTCTCTACTTTCTCTCTCTCTGAAATCCGATTTTGAGACAAAATCACCCAAATCAAGCTTCAAATCATCAAGGTAACTATCCTAGCTCCTAGTTTAACACCTTTGGCCTTCAAATTCGTGATTTATATGAAGAATAGGACCATTAACATGAGTTTACGGTCCTAGAACATCCCTAGGCCGTGAACTCATGTAAATGGGGTTTTTGTGCCATAAAACCCTTCCAAACCTCATTTGGAGCTTAGATATGACATAAGGACTTATTTGCATGGACTTGGAACACCTTGAACTCTTCATTTAGGGTGTAAACATGAGTTTACAGCCCAAGCATATGCTTGGACCGTAAACACCTATTCATGGGTAGTAAACTCATTTTTATGTGTTAAGATGCTACTTAAACACACCATAAGCCTTAGAAATGAGTCTAGAAGCAACCACAATCAAGTTAAGGACCTTAAACATGCCAAAACCACCCCCATAGAAGTTTATGGTCGTAAACCCCCCAAGAATGGGTTCTTAGGCCGTAAACTCCTAAAACTTAGTCAATGGTGCCTTAAACTCATCCCAATGCTTGTATTATGACATAGAAACACTTGTAAGGACCTAGGACCACCAAAACATCAAAGGATTGAGTGTGGGGGAGTTTAGGGCCGTAATCCTAGTTTACTATCGTAAACTCCATTAATTGGTCCATATGTGAGTTTAATCCATTCCTATGCCCTAGATTTGATCCTAGCTAATTTTCCCAAGTCATATAAGGCCATTTAGCATCATAGAACACCCCACCATGAGTTTACGGCCGTAAAATCATGGGTAGAGGGTCATTAGGGCCGTAAAACCTCTGATGAGTTTACTCTTGAGGAGTAAACTCCATATCCAAGCCTTATACGTCCTTAGATATCACCCGGGTCACTCCAAACACTTGATTTGAACTATTTTCGCATCTAGGAGTGTTTAATCATATCTAATTAGTGATTTGAAGTCTAATTAGATACAATTGTGTATCATTTCATATTACATAGGAACCTCGTGCGTTTTCAAGCCTTGAACTGACGTTTAGCATCCAAACCGACACATTCCGCGATTGGTGAGTTCATACCCCTACGCCTTTTTCCGTGTTTTTCAATGTTTTCAGGGGGGAATACAAGCAAAATATTAAATGTTTTCAAAACATAAAACTGATGTATTTTCTACAAATACCTGGCTAACTTTTAGATATCTATACCCCTTATGTGTTATGCTGAGCATAAGGGATGTTTTATCGACTATAACTACATGGATTTCAATAAAGATAACAATCAAATCAATTAAATTATTATAGGAATAATTTGGGATCTTTAGTTCTTGTTTTACGAGTATAGATTTATGAAAAGCTAATAGATAAACTATGTCTGATTCAGTTTATCTCTGTTTGATTTAGAATATATTGCCAGATCATTTCATTGTATTAAACCATTTGTATTGTATTATGTTTCTAAACGATTAGTATGTTTGATAACGTCTGAGAACACCGTGAATAATATGATACTAGCTTGTGAGATTTGTCATTATTATCAATAAATCCTCCACGGAAGTGTAACCAGAGTCTCCTGGAGGGAGAGCGTGGAATTTGTGAATAGATCTATTCGGGACTGACAATCCCACACCTAAACTGCTAGCTATAGTTAGGTGGGCACGCCTGGGGTGACAAATTCTAGAAATCGTCTGACGTCTGACAAACGTCAAGGAGGTCCCGGTGTTGCATTAGCATGGTTACCCGACTCATAATACGTATTAATATAGATTTATTCACGGATTGATTTTATATCTACTTTCTATCTATTGCTCTTATATCTAGCACGGGATGATAATCCCATGGTTTTGAAACCATATATAGTACGGGATGATAATCCCATGGTTTTCAATCTATATCTAGTACGGGATGATAGTCCCATGGTTTTCAATCTATATCTAGTACGGGATGATAATCCCATGGTTTTCAATCTATATCTAGTACGGGATGATAATCCCATGGTTTTGAATCTATATTTAGTACGAGATGATAGTCCCATGGTTTTCAATCTATATCTAGTACGGGATGATAGTCCCATGGTTTTTAATCTATATCTAGTACGGAATAGTATTCCCATGGTTTTCAATCTATATCTAGTATGGGATGATAGTCCCATGGTTTTCAATCTATATCTAGTACATAATAGTATTCCCATGATTTTCAGTATATAGTTCTACGTGTTAAACTACTCAATGTGGTCTTTAAGTAAACTTTACTTTTAGGAAAATAAGGGTTTTTCCTGGGATAACAAACTATACATAACCGGATCGTATAATAATCGGATAACTCAACTAAACTTATAAGAAAATATGGGATTTTCTTGGATAACAAACTTTTTCGGAAAATCAAAGGAAAATTGTACATTTTCAGAAAAACAAAACTCTTATGAACTCACCAGCTTTATGCTGATTTTCAAACTGCTTGTATTCTCAGGTCCGCAATAGACAGGTACCCAACGATCCTTTTGGCGAAGACGGAGTACGTAGAAGACACGTCTTTACTTTTGTTCATATGATACATATGTATAACACTTGTAACGCTTTACTTTTGAACAGATGTAAATTCTAATATGTAATGTAATGGTTGTTTACTTTGCTTACTATGTACATTGGTTGTGATACTTAACATGAAATCACTTCCTCCCCGAAACATTTCCGCCTGCGGTTTCGGGGTGTGACACAAAATATCTATCAACATAAACAAAGAATGTGTTAAAATATAATTATAAAAAAGTATACAAATAAGTAAAGTTATACCTTTCGCCATACGATCTAGAATAGGGTAAAAAGATGCATTTTGTTTCCACCAAATTAGAATGTCAAAATCTTTATTGTATTTAACTGACCGCTCGTTTTGGTATTGTGTCAACTCTGTTTCTGTAGATGCCAATGGGTAATCCGATTTTACTATTAAATCACCCATGAAGTTATTCTCATCATCAAACATAACTACATCTTCCTGAGCACGTGTTTGACTTTGAGAAGACTCGGTATTGTCGAACTTTGCTTTGTAGAAATTAAAAAAATTCTCAATTTTTTTTTCAATGTCCCGTATTAAGGCCTTAGCCTTCAAAGTGACTTCCGAGTTGAATATGGGAGGTTCTCTGGTATTCTTCAACTTAATCAACTTCTCAAAGGCTTGTTGAAGAAACTCAAACTTCAACCGTGGATCTAATACGATCGCAAAGTACAAAAAGTCATTTAATTTTTCAAGGTCGTCCAATACTTTTCATATTTGTCAATCATATCCTTCCCGTTCAAGCAAAAGTGGGGAGTTGACACCCAATCTTTAATGTGCTTGTACACATCACATATTTCTACAAAAAAACGATCGATGTGCCATAGGTTTTGTTGACGTCGATATTATGTCGGTTTTTACCTTGAATTTCTCAAGAAATCCAACCATAGCTCTACAAAATTTGAAATCTTCTTCTACGGGACACAACATCTCGAACATATGTAGGATCTATTCAAATAAAATAAGTGTTACTTTAAAAAAACGCAACTTTAATACCTTCTATTTAAGCGCCTATATCTCATTGAATATACAACCAAAAATAGCATAAAAATAGTGTAAACTGAATGTGAAATTGTGATCTACATGGTGGAAAAAAAATCAGACAAATTGGATAGATAATGAAGAAGATATGACAATTCAAAGTGGACATAAAAAACTACAAACATGCTAAATCAGAAAAAAACAGCTTCAATACCCCATGTTTAAGGGCCTATATCTCATTAAATATACAACCAAAAATAGCATAAAAATAGTATAAACTGAATGTGAAATTGTGATCTACATGCTGGAAAAAAATTAGGCAAATTGGACAGGTAGTGAAGAAGATATGACAGTTCAAAGTGGACATAAAAATCTACAAACATGCTGAATCGGAAAAAACAGCTTCAATACCCCATGTTTAAGGGCTTGTATCTCATTGAATATTCAACCAAATATAGCATAAAAATAATGTAAACTGAATGTTAAACTGTGATCTAAATGCTGGAAAAAATTCAGGCAAATTGGACTGGTAATGAAGAAGATATGACAGTTCAAAGTGGACATAAAAATCTATAAACATGCTGAATCGGAAAAAACAGCTTCAATACCCCATGTTTAAGGGCCTATATCTCATTCAAGATACAACCAAATATAGCATAAAAATAGTGTAAACTAAATGTTAAATTGTGATCTACATGCTGGAAAAAAAATCAGGCAAATTGGACAGGTAATGAAGAAGATATGACAGTTCAAAGTGGACATAAAAATCTACGAACATGCTGATTTTTTTAAAAAACAAAAAACAATGAAATGGAATGGAATGGAATATGGAATATGGAATTACCTTTAACTGAAAACATTCCAAAAACCTTCTCCAACTCCACCGCAATCTTCAATAACTCGTATGTGGAGTTCCATCGGGTTGGGGAATCATTGCACAAAAACTTCTTGGATTCCACATTTAACTCTTTCATGCATTCTTTGAACCTTTGAATCCGTTGAGTGGAATTCCTAATATATCTAACGGCCTTTTGCATGCACTTAATGCTAGATTGGTGTTCATCAAACCCATCCTTAACAATAAGGTTTAGGATGTGGGCCATACACCTTACGTGTAATTGTTTCCCCCCATCGTATAAGTTTCGTAGTTTTTTCATTAGAAATTCAATTGCTTTATCATTTAAAATAGCATTGTCTACGGTTATGGTCATTACATTATTGATACCACACTCTTCAAGACAAGGCAACAACGTACGCCCAATGTCTTCTCCCCTATGACTATCTAAAGATTTAAAGTTGATAACTCTTTTGTGCATGACCCAATCTTTATCAATAAAGTGGGCCGTGACCACCATATAGCTCGATCATTGACATGAACTTGTCCAACAATCGGTGGTCAAATGCACATTCATTAGGGGATTACTAAAGAACTTATTCAACTTTGCTTTTTCTTCAACATAGTAATCGACGACTCTTTTTGAAACTGTGGTTCGACATGGCAAAACCACTTTCCCGTTCAATGCATTGGTATACTCAATAAATGCTTCATTCTCTACAAACTTAAATGGTAATTCTCCAACTACAAATAAGTTTAACAATTTTTTTTTTATTCTTTTCTCATCATGCTTCCAAGTGCCAATACTATTCTCCCCGTTTTCATTTTTTTTGAAATTTAAAGTGGTTTGCTTTTTTAAATTTTCTTCTAAATTTTTTGGGTTCTTTTTACATCTTTTTGAATGTCTAATCATACTAGATGTACCGTTTTCGCCGGACTCGGTTTTGAGCAACGTCTCACACCATTTGTATTTGTTATGTTGAACGTTGTTAACCTCAACTTCATCATAATCGGCCAAACAAGCCACTCTTTTGGTATATATTTTCTTTTTCTTTGTTGTTTGACCTTTTTCGTATTTGTTGTCAATTTGAGTTTTATGAACGAAAACATCTTCATCATCAATCTAAAACACAATAACAAAATAATTTTAATATCATAAAATAGAAAAATATATTCTTTAACATTGTTCATCCTAAAAATTTATATTTTTGTATCCAGAAAGTTAATTATTAGCTCATGGCGACCCATCTTTTTTGCATGACAATTAGTGACATAAGTGGTCCAACTCAACTATTTCCTCCCCTTAACAGTACCATGACATTAACAAGATTGTATGTGTTATTTGGTTAATTTCCCTCACTTACTTCTCATTAATTAAATATAGATAAATATAATTACAACAAAATTGTACCCTAAGGGAAAATGGAAAAATGAGAAAGAGGGTACAATTTTCAACTATTATTATGCAAATAAACTGAAGCTGAAAAGCAAACAACTTAAGTAATTCAGTTTTGTATCATACTAATAACTTATAAAAAACAAATGCATCATGCATTAAGAAAACTTGTAAGTGTGTCTATAAAATATACTATACTTTGAAAAAAATGTGTACTCGTGAGGTGGAACAAGTAGAGGCAAAACCAACATACTACACAATTTGGTGTTGAATATTAAACCTTTCACAAGTTCGGGGTTTAAGAAAAAGAAATACCAATTATGAAGTAAACTGATTTTTTTTACTTTATGAAAAACATTGGGCACCATATCCAAAACAGTAGGCCCCATAACCTTCAAAGGGGGAGGTTTATCACTTATCAGGAAAGAAATGTATAAGACGATGATTGTTTATTGCCTCTAAATACAAAGGCGAAGAGATACTAAAAGCGTCTGAATGTATACAATTGATTAAAAGAATAACGGTAGCTAACTTGAGTTTGTTGACTTGGAACCCAATTATCCATGATTTAGAATAATTCCTTGGAGATGAAGATTGGAATTCGATTTCTTGATAGTAGAGTGTATGTTGATTTCTTGAATGCTTGACTTGATTTTTTTTTGTTATCGATGATAGTAAATGGTCGAAGGTGTAACTGGGAAGTAGGAACAATCGAGCACAACAAGTCAGTAAAGTCGATGAATCAGAGAACAGGGAACGATCGATAAGTCGATGGAAACTGGGAACGATCGATGCCAACAAGGGTGAAACAATGATCGACTAGGGAAAACTCGTTTTTTTTACATTTCTATGATAGCTGGATACGATGATAGCAGGATCGATCACAGAAGGGTATTTTGCACGATCACACCAAAGTGACCATTTATATTTTGGGTTGGTCTTTTTGGCCCGATTAAGTCTTTATTCGGGTAACCCAGACCGAATAACCCGAAACCCGGATTGGGCGAAAAATAAATACCTGAGAACCGACCCAAATTACTTATTCAATCCTAATTCGGTTCGGTCCGGTTTGGGTTTTGGTTTCGGTTCGGGTATTCGGTCTAAACCCACATCCCTAACGGTAAGCACGAAGCTTAGTGAGTTCCCCAAAATACCACATACACAATTACTAAGCCTCTCATGGTTATAGCTCGGCATAGACCCTCAGGTTATGCATCTCAATGAGGACCTCCGGTCTCATGGCTTGGTGTGGACCCTCCGATCATGTGTCTTAGTGAGAACCCTTTGGTTACATAGCTTGGGTTGGACCCTCCAATCCTGTATCTCAGTGAGGACCCTCCGGTCTCACAGCTCGGGTTGGACCCTCCGATACAATCTCAGAATGCACATATATCACAAAGACAAAATACATAATATCACATATCTCAAACAAGACCCTCCGGTCACTCAATAGTACCACTCAGGTATGTATAGTGAGAAGACTTACCTCGTAAGTAAAGCAAATATGTCTTGCACTCGAATCACCGGTCTAGCCTCCGCCTAACATATACCTTAATTATCTCTAATTAATAAACGACCCTCAAGGATGCTAGGCTAAACCCACTACAAATTATCATAAGGATAAAAGACTATTTTACCCTTCCATGGCCTCTATAGTCCATAGTTTAACCAAACCCTAAAAGTCAACAAAAGTCAATAGCAGTGCGTACGTTGGGCGTACAGTCCCTCTACACTGGGTGTACTACTTTGCCATGCATGCATCGAGGTTCTTCGACGCTACGATGCGCGTACCTGGGAGTACGCTCGGCGTACGTCCCGGACTCACTTTTCCCACTCTCTTGGTCTTACTCCGTTAAGCCCATAGCTGTACTCTCAGATCTGGACTCCCTAAAGGCTCATACTCCATAAAGTTCGTGACTTCAAGCCTTTGCATGGCTAAGAAAGTCTAAAACCCAAGAACTCTCACTCTTTACTCACAATAGTGCTCATATCTCATTCATGGGGTGATTTTGACATCCAAGATCCCATTTTTATGAGTACACTCCACTAGAGACACTTAAAGGGACATGTATTAGGCTCTGGAGTTCAACAAACTCATCAAGCTTCAAGCTTTGGGATAAAAACCCTAAAATGAACCATAATATGCACAAATCAAAAGAATGAGAAAGATTTGAGCTTGATACTTTCAAATGATGCACCAACCACAGGGAAACTCAGATCCAAGGCCTGGACTCCAACTCTATTCTTTTCAATACTCCTTCTTCACTCAAAGAATCCCACAAGAACAATTAGAAGCTTAAAATGGCCACTCAAGCTAAGAGAATGAGAATTAGTGTTTTGAGGGGGTTGAAGGTTGGAAATGGTGGCCATAAATGAGGCCATTATGTTCCTTAAATATAGATACACCCCACAATTAGGGTTTTCATTCTGAGCCTAGTACGCCTAGCGTACTAGGTGGATTCCACGTTCAAATCACACACATGAGGACGCTGAGCGTACACATGTGTATGCCCTGCGTACTCAGCTACCATATTTTCTAAAATAAAGGGCTAAACTTGAAAACTACAATAATACAAGGGTTAATGGGATATACCTAGTCTCGAGATGTTACAATTCTCCCCTACTAGAATCAGACTTCACCCTCGAAGTCATCTTAGGGAAACAACTCTAGGTACTGCTCGCACATCTCCGACTCCGGCTCCCAAGTCCACTCGGATCCCTTTCGATGTTACCACTAGACCTAAACAAGGGGCACATATTTATTCCTTAAGCCCTTCACCTTTATATCCAAGATCGCTATCGGCCTCTCAATATAGTTCAGTCTTTCATCAACCTGAATGTCCTCTAAAGGAACCACTACCGTCTCATCGGCTACACACTTCCTCAGCTGGGACACGTGGAAGGTGTTGTGAATCTGGTTCAACTCTGCAGGAAGCTCCAATCTATAAGCTACCTTACCCACTCGTGTTATCACCTTGAAGGGACCAATGTATCTAGGGCCTAGCTTGCCCTGTTTCCTGAATCGGATCACCCCCTTCCATGGGGATACCTTAAGGAGGACAAAATCTCTGACCTAAAAGTCTAACTTTGAATTGGGCCGGTCGGCATAAATCTTATGAAAACTCTGGGCCGTCAGTAACCTCTGTCTGCCCTGCTGGATTTGCTTTGTCGTTTCGAGAAATATCTCAGTACCCCCTATCACTCTCTGCCCTACTTCTCCCCAACAAATGGGAGTCTGACACCTCCTCCCATATAAGAGCTCAAAGGGAGGCATACCAATACTGGAATGATGGCTATTGTTGTATGAAAACTCAGCCAAGGTCAAAGAAATGTCCCAACTCCCACCAAAGTCCATAACACATGTACGCCGCATGTCCTCGAGCGTCTGAATCGTCTGCTCGCCTCTGCTCGTCTGTCTATAGGTGATATGTGGTACTGAAGTGCAGCCGAGTACCCAACTCATGAAATTTCTTCCAGAAACTGGAAGTAAAACGCACTCTCGATCTGACACTGTCAATATCGACACTCCATGATGTGCCACGACTTCTCACATGTAGATCTCGGCCAATTTATCTGCAGAAGAACTCTCAATGATAGCCAGAAAGTAAGCCCTCTTCATTAACCGGTCTATAATCACCCATATCGCATCGACAACTCGCGCAATCCTCGGTAATTTGGTGATAAAATCCATAGAGATAGTCCCACTTCCACTAGGGAATCTATAGAGGCTGCAATAGGCCGTGTGGTCACTGGTGCTCATCCTTGACCTAACGACATGTCAAGCATCTCTCAACTACCCATGCCACATCTCTCTTCATGTAGGGCCACCAATAATCCCTCTTCAAATCCAAATACATGTTGGTGGCCCCCTGAATGGATCAAGAATCTTGACCAATGGGCTTCCTCCATCAAAATATGTCAAGCTCCGCCTGTATAAGGCACCCAAATCTGCTCATGGAAAGTCATCAGCCCCTGACTGTCCGTCTCATACTCGGAAATATGCTGGATCACCCGCTCTCTTACGGTTCTCAGGTCTCGCTACCACCAACTAGGCCTCTCGAATGTTATCTAAGATTAGAGTCATCATCGTCATCCTTATGCATACGTCTCGGATCGGAGGACTC